TTTCCGGACCATCTATTCAAAACCTCAGATATCTGAGGACCTCCTCAACAGCATCCGAAGAAACAGCATCACCCGATGATATAGTCGGGTCATGACATTATACTCTCGTATGGGATGTCAGAGGATCGAGCCTCCTGTCTTAAACACATTTACGATTAGAAAAAAATCTGAAGCATTGGCACAACGAAAGAGAAACTTTCCAGCTTAGATGTGTCAGCATGTAACACCCTCAACATGTAAAACTTTCAACATGTAACACCTTCATCAGTATAACTAAATCCTTCTAAAGGTCAGTGATGCCATCCTCCGAACTTATTTGTCGGCGTTGAAGAAAGAGGAATACAGTTGTGGAGAAAGACTCTTAGGTGCAGTTAAATGAATTAATAGAACACGTTTCACCATGAGTGGCTGCTTCAGATCTAAGAGAAACGTTTCTTTAATAGATGTCCTGAACTGTAAATAAGTGTCCTTTTTCCACATCTTGTCGGTATCACCATACTATTTCTCAAAAATACAGTTACATGGGGTCTTATCTGACGATGTTTCGCCCATCCATCGTCTGTTGACTGCAATAATTAAAGTATTAGTAATGTTCAGTTCATATGAGGGACCTACCAGCAGATGTTGTGGTCTCTGGCGGTCTGGGAGATGTTGGCGTGTTTATGCTGAAGACGAACCAGACCCTTGAACTGTGAGAGACAACGTTCCCAGTCATCACTCACATCTCGAAGACACGGACCGTGGGACAAATACTCTGGGAGAAAGTGGTCTGGTTAGTTTCGCAAGACGAGGGCCACCAGCATCAACAACAGCCTGGTTGACTAGGCAAACACCAGGCGAGGCCGGGCTCCAGTAGTCGAAAAACTCTCGGAGTCCCACACTACCGCCTCTGGTATGCCTTTGATGAGTTCCTAGAGTTTTTCAACTCCAGGAGCCCGGCCTCGCCTAGTGTTTGCCTAGTCAACCAGGCTGTTGTTGCTGCTGGTGGCCCTCGTCTTCGGGTGGTGGGTGAGGTTGGTTGGTTAATGAGGTTTAAAGCCTATCGACTACACTAAGGTCATTAAGGCTGCACGTAATCTTTTTGACCAACAGACATAAATACTTTCATCCCTAAAGTTGGAATTAAATTCTCAGCATATACGCTGAGAGAAATACACCTCTCAGTGTATATATCCCATAAGTGGGTGAGTGGTCAGGGTGGTGGTTGTGATGGGGTGAGTAAGGAATACTGGGTGGTTGTGATGGGGTGAGTAAGGAATACTGGGTGGTTGTGATGGGGTGAGTAGGGAATACTGGGTGGTTGTGATGGGGTGAGTATGGAATACTGGGTGGTTGTGATGGGGTGAGTAGGGAATACTGTGTGGTTGTGATGGGGTGAGTATGGAATACTGGGTGGTTGTGATGGGGTGAGTAAGGAATACTGGGTGGTTGTGATGGGGTGAGTAAGGAATACTGGGTGGTTGTGATGGGGTGAGTAAGGAATACTGGGTGGTTGTGATGGGGTGAGAAAGGAATACTGGGTGGTTGTGATGGGGTGAGTATTTGTTTTAAAACTGCCGATGACTCAAAAAAAGAGAACACATTAACCATCACTCATTAAATAGCTGTCTTGCCCGAAGTGCACAAATATCTGATTTTAATGACTTTCTGAATTGCAATATTCCCATCCGTCCTTCTGAGTACAAGTGTTCTCCTTTCCGTCTTCAGACCTCGTGATGAATCCATTCACTAATATAAATTATATGTCACACACACCACACACACACACACACACACACACACCACACACACACACACCACACACACACACACACACACACACACACACACACACACACACACACACACACACACACACACACACACACACACACACATACACACACACTAGCACACACATAAACACACATAAACACATTTAAGAATTTCTCGTGTTTGGTGTCAAATTTAGCTATAGTTTCAATTCTTGCCAGATGTCAATTCCTGCAAGGTGTCAGTTTTCACATCAAGCTTTAAATACCACTAATCTTTACTCACACCTGTCTGACGCCCTCACACAAGCCTGCTGGATGCCCAAGCCTCTAGAATTCAAACTCTTCTCCCCTCCCCCCTCCTTCCAACCTTTCCTAGGATAACCATTCCACCTCAGCAGCATCTCTTTCTCCCTCTGATCTAAAACCTTTGGTAAACCCGCACCGTCGTCTAATTTCTACTCTCCCAGTTTATCATTTTAGCAAAACTAGGCACATTAGTAGCATGATGCTACTCTAGTTTAGATGAATATTAGTGGGAACAAAGACTAGCAGTGTCCTTGCAGTATTCCATCAACCAGGATGAGTCTCCTACATCAAATAATGAAGTATGTTAGCCTGAGATGTGAGACTTCAGTAGGGTGATGAGGAAGCCGCCAAATATTCCACTATGAATTCATCTTCAAATATTACGTTTCGGGAAAGCTGGAGTTGCTATTGCTTTTGTATTCACATCTCTGAGGATGGCCTCTCTCACGGAACTAGAAAAAAATATATAGAGTATATGAAAAATGCTTGCTTTTATAAACAGTGCAAATTCATTGCTGCAATAATTTCGCTAGAATCATCCTGACCATCAGGAAACAAACGCCACTTCACTGTTGCTAAGCAACCTCAAACAAATTTAAAGTGATGTAAGATAAGTCGGGCAAGGTTCCACTAATTTGTAGCAAGTTGACTAGTCCGATAAGCTAATCAAATATAAATTAGCCGGGTCACCAAAATGGAAGAGACCCGGGCCGGGATTACCGGCGAATCAAATAGAATAGAATAGAATAGCTTAATTTGCCTAACCAGTCTAAGAAAATCCATATCTGTAAGCCAATGTTTTTTTTCTGTGAGTTTAGGGGAAATCTCCGGGTAATTCATCTTTTCAATACATTATAAAAACTGTGTTGGGCTATTATGTTACTTTTCTGGAAGACAGGGTCGTCACAGAGGAAGACAAGGAAGGTCCTTCCTTTCTTAAAGACAAGGAAGACCCTGCCTTTCTAGAAGACAAGGAAGGCCCTACTTTTCTGGAAGACAAGGAAGGCCCTACTTTTCTGGAAGACAAGGAAGGCCCTACTTTTCTGGAAGACAAGGAAGGCCCTACTTTTCTGGAAGACAAGGAAGGCCCTAGTTTCTGGAAGACAAGGAAGACCCTACATTTCTGGAAGACAAGGAAGACCCTACTTTTCTGGAAGACAAGGAAGGCCCTACTTTTCTGGAAGACAAGGAAGACCCTACATTTCTGGGAGACAGGGCCTACCTTTCTGGAAGACAGGGTCGTCACAGAGGAAGGCAAGGAAGCCCCTGGCTCCGCGTAGATTCTGATCCAGTTCCAGTCTCTCGCCCCAACTCAGGCAACTTGACGTATAGCGATCAACACACTTCATGCCTCCCTTGAACGCTCTGTAGCAAGAAAACGACATTATCAGCAGACGGACTGACAAACTGTGACAGAACTACCCAGAGAGGTACACACACAAACACACACATACTTAGAACATTACAGTGTACTGATCCTTTACATTGATATTAGTAGTATACAATACCGACCAGCTGATTAGTCAAAACATATATGCAACACTTGGGTATCTTGACGAAAAATTTCACCTGAGTGGGTTTCTTCAGTCAAATACAGAAGTAACTCTCACGATGGAGACGGTAGAAGAAATCAAATGGTAATTATAAACTGCTGCTCAGTCTATTATTCATAAGTTATTATTTTTTAAAATAGATTGAAAATTTAGATTTAACAAGGCAATGGAGGTTTATATATATATATATATATATATAAATATATATATATATATATATATATATATATATAATATATATATATATATATATATATATATAATAATATATAATATAAATATATATATATATACAGACACGTTAGCCAGTGGCTAACGCGTCGGTCTGGAGTTTTATGACTCTCTGACCGCGGGCTCTATCCCCGCCCGTACTATGGTAAGTTGTTTACATGTTAGTAGTACAAGTTGTTTACATCCTAGCTCTAATCACCATGGCCAGCTAGTCCACCATACCTACACATGTTGTTGAGCTGAGAGAGGGTATGGGGCAGGCCCACCTTGGGCATGTAAGGTGCTACTGCTGATAAACACTGATCCAACTCCAGCTTCCTCGTCTTACACTGGTCTCCTCCCGCCAGCCCTGCTGAATGATAGATATTATAGGTGATTATCATACAAGAGCCTTAGATTATGGAAATACTAGACATTATAAGTGATGGTCATACAGAAGCCTTAGATGATGGAATGCTAGATATTATACTAGACGATCATACTAGAGCCTTAGATCCTGAAATACTAGAAATTATACTCGATGATTAAAGGAGATTTTGGAGGCTGTTATTGGACAAATATCTCATATATTGTCATTATTTTATTTCGGAACTTGGATGATACACGTTCTAAAGCACTGATGGGAACACCTACTACCACTACTACTACTACTACCACTACTACTACTACTACCACTACTACTACTACTACCACTACTACTACTACTACTAATACTACTGCTACTACTACTACTACTACTACCAAATACTACTACTACAACTAATACCACTACTACTACTACTACTACTACTAGCTACTACTACTACTACTACTGCTACTACCAACTACGACTACGACCACCACTACTATACTCACTACTACTACTACTAAACTACTACTACTGCTACTACTACTACTACTGCGACTACTACTACTACTACTACTACTACTAATACTACTAACGCTTTACACTAACTACTACTACTACCACAACTACTACACTACTACTACTTTTACTACTACTACCCCTACTACTCCCTCTACTCTCTACAATATACCTCTAATACTACACCACTACTACTACTACTACTACTGCTACTACTATACTAATACCACTACACTACTACTACATGCTTCTACTATTCAATACTTACTACTACACCACTACTACCACTACTACTACCACCACTACACACTACTACTATTCTAACTACTACGACTACTACCTCCCCTTACCTACTACACTATTTACAACTACAACTACTCTACTATCTACTACCACACTCTACACCACTATTTACTCTACCACTACTCCACTACTACTACTACTAACTACTACTACTACTTACCACTCAACTACTACTAATTTACTACTCCCATACCCACTACTGACTACTACCACAAAACTACTATACTACTATACTACTACTACTACTACACCACTACTACTACACTACTACTACTAATTACCACTACTACTACAACCTACTCACTACTGTTACCACCACCACTACTTACTACTATACTACTACTACTAACTATTACTACTACTACTACTACTACTACCTACCACTACTACTCAAACTACCACTACTATACTGTACTACCACTACTACTACTACCACTACTACTACTACTCTACTACTACAAACTACTACTATTACCCCCACTACTACTACTACTACTACTACTACTACTACTATTACCACCACTACTACTACTCCCACTATATATACTACTACCACACTATACTACTACCATACTATCTACTCCCCACTACTACTACTACCCCCTATCCTACATACTACACTACTTTACCCCCACTACTTAAAACAACTATACTATCTATACAACTATACTACACCTACTACTAAACCCCACACTATACCACTCACTGTACACCACTATTACTCCCCACCTTACTACATTACACTACTACAAAACTACTACTATACTACTACTATTGCTATACTACATAAAATACCTACACTCCCCACTAATACTATACTCACTACCATATACTAACTACATAACTACTCCCACTACTATCCATCCACTCCCACACTACTACTACTATACTACTAACTACACTACCACTACCACTACCACTACTACTACTAACTACTACTACTACACTACACTACTACTACTAACTACTGCTACTCTACTACTACTACTATTACTACTACTTACTATTTTTTTTGTTTAAAGGGAACACACTACTTCCCCCAGTAAAAATTTTTTAATAAACTTTGTGAAACCGGGCGAAATTTTTTTTTAGTAACGTCGAGGTACTAGAAAAAAGCCAGCTTTGTTGGTTTCTTTGTTACCTTTATCTGAGTTTCTATTGTCCCGTTGATCTGAGTGTTCGTTGTACCATGATTGAGTGTTTTGTTGTCCGTTGACGAGTTTCTGTTTACAGTGATCTGTGGCAATCAGGTGGCTTTCAACACTAAAAAAAACATAAAATATTAGGGTTTCGCTTTTATTTTTAATAAAAACAAACCTATTTTTAAAATTGATAAAGTTTTTTTAATTTTTTATAATTGTGGGGGCGCCTTGGTGGGAAAAAAATTACACAACCCCACCCCACTGGAAGAAAATATTATATAACATATAATATTATATATATTTATATATTTTATATATTTATATATATAATATATATTATATATATATAATTATATTTATATATTATATATATATATATATAAATATATATAAAATATATATATAAAAATATATATATATATATAAAAATAATATATATATTTAAAAATTATTTAATATATATATATATGTATATATATATATATTTATATTATATAATATTTTTAAAATTTATTATATATATATAAAATTTTTTAATATATAATATATTAAAAATTCCCCCCCTGGGGGAAATGGAGAAAAAAAACTTCCCCCGTTACCATGGTGTCGTAAGAGGGGGACTAAAATGCCGGGGCAAAGGGGGTAGTAACCCCTTTTCCTGTATCATTATAATTTTTAAAAAAAAAAATTCATTTTTTCTTTGTATCACGGCCCCAGTGGGAAACGGGCCCATATTTTTACTTTTTCCTCCTTATGAGAGGGGTTTCAAATTGAAGACCCGATTTGAAATTCAAATATCATTTAAACTGGGCCGTCTATTTAGAAAACCCCACAAAATTAAAATTTGCTAGGGGTTTTATTTTATATAATTGAAGGTGTTGGTAATTGTGGGGAGAAAATGCTCAGTAAATATACTAAAATTGTTTGCAGTTAAATGCTGACAATATTAAATAAATATATGGGGCATTTTTTTCCCAACAATTACAAACGCCTCACATTATATTTAAAAATTATTACAACAATACATTATACTGCTTAACAGAGCACAAGTCTAGTATCTTACTAAGCCATAACAAACTCCATAACAGAGCACAAGTCTAGTATCTTGCTAAGTCATAACGAACTTAGTAAATAGCGAGCTAACTTTCTCACCTGTGTGAGAAAGTTAGAAAATTTCGATATGTCTCCAGGAAGGTCAGAAGACTTTCTGACCTCACGTCAGCAAGTTGCTGTCCAACTTTCTCATGTACGATGAGATAAGCTTGTAAAGTCGTCAGCCTCACTGTAGCACAGTTACACTCACTGTAGCACAGTTACACTCACTGTAGCACAGTTACACTCACTGTAGCACAGTTACACTCACTGTAGCATAGTTACACTCACTGTGCACAGTTACACTCACTGTAGCACAGTTACACTCACTGTAGCACAGTTACACTCACTGTAGCACAGTTACACTCACTGTAGCACAGTTACACTCACTGTAGCACAGTTACACTCACTGTAGCACAGTTACACTCACTGTAGCACAGTTACACTCACTGTAGCCCAGTTACATTCACTCTAGCACAGTTTCTCTCACTGTAAGGCAGAAAGACATTACTATAAGCATTTTTTTTCCATTTAGAGTGGCAGCCTTCTACCAAGGCAGGGTTACTTCAAGAAAAGACACACATTCACCATCATTCGTTCAATTACTCTCTTTTCAGAAGTGAGAAAAGAAATTTTTGAAAAGTAGTGGAAATGTGTAAGCAAAATGATGCTAATAAAAAATGTATAGGCCTACTGGTATTTTGAGTTATCCCTTCTCACGAATTGTTATTGAAGAAGAATCATTGAGCTGTTGGAGTTGTTAGATGGTTATAGTTGTTAAATGTCTAGATGCCGGTAAGGGATGAGGGTTGAGAGTCATGATCCAAGGAATTAGAACTGTCATGGAATTCCTTGGATCAAAAATGGACTGCCTGTATTAACTAAGTGCTATTTTACTCACATATGTTGCAACACGAAACACCTAGAGCTATCATTCAACTCTCCCTGAGGTTGTTTTTATCTTGTGTCGCTTGTTCGCAATTACTGCATATTATATATATAATATAATATATATATATATATAATATATATATATAATATATATATATATATATATATATATATATATATATATATATATATATATATATATGTATTGGAAGTGGCTTTTCGCCTGGCTGCCTGTCGAATAACCTAGGCCATTTCTTAATTACTAATATCAATTACGTCCCAGTTACTCATTTCTTCGGAAGGATCTGGGCACCAAAATGGAACTCAGGTTTCCCAGTCTGTCCAGTCTGCTTTTAATATCATTTTTTTGGTGAGTAAAAAAAATGTGTTTTTGACTTACTTATATATGAGTGTTGACTGACAGGAAGAACGGACCTTTATAAGTCTGTCAGAAACAGAGAAAGTGACAATTCTTTCGAGTTATTTGTCTATAATGCCTAAGTTTGATTTCCTTATACCAACCACCAGCAGCCGGGAGGCCTGAACTGGGACCGGGCCGCGGGGGCGCTGACCCCTCACATATAAGCAGCCATCAGATACATAAACACTGATGAAACTTACCAAATGCTGACCAAAATAGCGTCACCAAGACGATAATCCGCAT